CCAAAATCATTGATGGTCCAAAGCTTTTTGAGGGATTCCGACGGCTTCAAGACGACCCAAGAGGCCCCCAATATCGCCCACGAGGCCTCCAAGATGGCCCCATGACGGCCCAAGAGGCCCCCAAGAGGGCCCCAAGAGGGCCCAAGGGGCCTCCAAGACGGCCCAAATGGCCTCCAAGACGGCTAAGATGGCCCCAAGATGCTTCCAAGACGGCCCAAGATGCACCCAAGATTGCCTAAGATGGCCTCAAGACGGCCCAAGAGGCCCCCAAGAGGCCTCCATGATGGCCCAAAAGGCGTCCAGGAGGTCTTCCAGGAGGGCCCGAAGAGGCCAACATTATTAATTTTCCTTGAGTGTTTGACAGATTTTGGCATTTGCCTCTTCTCGGGATTCCGACGGCTCAAGACGACCCAAGAGGCCCCCAATATCGCCCACGAGGCCTCCAAGATTGCCCCATGATGGCCCAAAGGGCCCCCAAGAGGGCCCCAAAACGGCCCAAGAGGCCTCCAAGGCGCCCAAGATGGCCTCTAAGAACCCCTGGTATGCCCCAAGAGGGCCCAAGGACGACTCAGACAGGCCCCCAAGACGGTTTCCGACGGCGCCAGACAAGCGAGGAACGCCCTAAGACAGCCAAAGAGGCTCCCACGAAGCTCCAAAAGGCACCCAAAAACCACCCAAGAGGCCCCCAGGAAGCTCCCAGGAGGCCCCAAGAGTGGCCCAAGAGGCGCCCAAGAGGCCTCCTCCTCCTCCTCCTCTTTTTTCCTCATCGTCCCGCTCATCCTCTTCTTGCTCACTCCCCGCAGTGTTTCCAAACCGACTCGGGGAACAACTGGCCCGATATCATGGCCAAGCTCTGGCCCAGCTGTCGGCCACAGAGGCGCTTCAAAAGGGCAGGGGGCGACGGTGATTCGCCGTAGGCGTCTTCGACTTGTTTTGGAAGCAGAACCAAAACCGAAAGGGTTCAGCACGCCAGGTACCCCTGCGATGAATCGACAGGGGGCGGCGGATCCTAGTGCCCTTCGCCACCGTGTCTGGGTTGTGGGTCTGAGGCCTCTTGTATATGTGTTGAGTTGTCGTGGGGGGGCCTCTCGAGGGGGCTCCTGGAGGCGGTTTCGGCGCCTCTTGGGGGCCTCTTGGGGCCTCGTGGGGTATCTTTGAAGCCTCTTGGAGGTCTATTGGCGCGTCTTGGGCGCCTCTTGGGGCCTCTTGGGGCTTCCTGGGGCCTCCTGGTGGCTTCTCGGGGCTTCTCGGAGCGTTTCTTGGGCCATCTTGCAGCCCGCTCGGGCCGTCTTGGGGCCCTCTTGGAGGCGTCTTGGGCTGTCTTGGGGCGGTCTTGGAAGCTTCTTCTGCCATCTTGGAGCGTCGGAAAGCCGAACATGCGAGAACCCCAAACTCCTTCCAGAACCTTCTTGGGGCTCTCTCGGGAGGCTTCCTGGAACGCACTTGGGGCCTCTTGGGGCCCTCTTGGAACCTTCGGGCGCCTTGAAGCACCCTTGGCCTCGGCAATACGAATACTGCGCAACTTGCGAGGGTTTATGGCCACGTGGACGCGAACATGGAATCAGTTACGAAGGTTTGTTGCCTCGGGGACGCAATACTTTAACACTTTGCAGGGGTTTGTGGCTCGGGGACGCGAATATATCGATGTTGTACTAAGGATTCTGTCTTCGGGGACGCGACTGTATAGCAATTTGCAAGGGTTTGTGGCCTCGGGGACGCGAACCTGATGTATTTTGTAAGGGTTTCTTGCCTCGGAGACGCAAGACGTGAGTAATTTACAAAAAGGTACGTTGCTTCGGGGGCGCAGACCTTGGTTGATTTGCAATGATTAATGGCTTCGGGGACGCGAATATTGTGTAATTTACCAGGGATCGTGGCCTCGGGGGTGCAACTGTGGTGTAATTTACGGGGGATCGTGGCCTCATAGGTGCGAATGTGGTACAATTTGCAAAAAATCGTGACCTCGGGGGCGCGCGTATGGCGTGATTAAAAGGGAATCGTGGCTTCGGGGGCGCGAGCGTGGTGTAATTTACAGGGGATCGTGGCTTCGGGGGGCGCGAGTGCAGCGTGATTTGCGAAGGATCGTGGCCTCGGGGGCGCGAGCTTGGCGTAATTTACAAGGGATCGTTGCCTCGGGAACGCGAACGTGGCATAATTTATTTAGTCGCTTCGCTCATTCCGCCGGCCCGTATTGTGCCATCGCAGGCGTTTGCTTGCGCGTTCGTGGCCTCTTGGAGCCTCGTTGGGGCCGTTTGGGGCCTCTTGGCGCCTCTTTTTAGGCCTCTTGGAGAACTCTGGAGGCCTCCAGGGGGCCTCCTGAGCTCGCGTGACGGTCTCTTGGGGGGTTTTCGGCGGGCTCTTGGCGGTATTTGTTGGTCCTCTTGGGGCCTGGGGCCTGACGTTGTTGGTCCTCTTGGGGCCTCACGGGAGCTTATTGGGGCGTCTTGGGGTGTCTTGGAGAGTCTCTTGGGGCCTCTTTCGGGGTCCTGGGCGCCTTCTGGGGCGGAGGGCTCGATTTTTCAGTTCTCGGTTCCCTTCTTGAGCCCCTCTTGGGCCCGTCTTGGGGCCTCTTGGTCCGCCTTGGGCAGCACTTGGGCCGTCTGGGGGGCGCTCTTGGGCCGCTCCGGGGCCGTCTTGGGAGCCTCGTGGGCCGTCTTGGAGCAGTCTTGAAGGCCTCTTGGGCCCTCTTGGAGCGTCCGGAAGCGAAAAGGCCAGAACGCAAAAAAACATAGAAAAAACAATGAAAATCAACGATTTTGGCAACTTGGGGCCCTCTTCGGAGGCCTCTTGGAAGGCCCTTGGAGCGTCTTGGAGGCCTCTTGGGCTGTCTTGGGGCCATCTGGGGCGTCTTCGGGCGATCTTTGGCCGTCTCGGGCCTCTCTTGGACCGTCTAGAAAGCTTCTCGGGGCCCTCGTGGACCGATCTGGAGCCCTCTTGGACTCCGAAACAGAACTCCGGCATCTCTGGCCCGACCTTGCCGGGACCTTGCCGGAGACTTGCCGCGGACTTGCCGGGACCTTGCCGGGGTACTTTTCGTCCGGGGACCCCCAGGGGCCGCCCCGCGCGCGCGAACTAGAAATACTGTTAACCAGGTACCGGAGATCTTAGCACGCCCTGGCCCGTTGGGCCGGCGAATTATGGATCGTGGACTCGGGGGCGCAAGAGCATGTTTCTTTATTGCTTGGGGCATAATGGACATTACGGCCCCCGGCCCCCCTCTCCCCCCTCCCTATAACGTAACGCCTTTCCCCCCCCATTGCTCTTCGGGCACTGCTGCCGTGCGCACGACGGGGGGGAGGCGTTACATCATACCTTCCCCCTGCCCCACCCCTTATAATGCCCATTATCGCCGAAAATAAAGAAACGCGCTCCAAGCGTGGCGTAATTTGTGGGATCGTGGCCACAAAGGCGCGAAGGCACAGCAATTTGCAGGAGATCGTGACCTCGGGGTCGCGAATATGGTGTATTTTGCAAGGGATCGTGGTTTCGGGGACGCGAGCGTTGTGCAATTTTCCAGGGATCGTTGCCTCGGGGGCGCGAAGACTGTAATTTGCAAGGGATTCTTGCGTCGGGAACGCGAATCTCTCTCATATATATATATATATATATATATATATATATATACATGTCCCACGGCCCCGCAGGAATTCAGGCAAGGCGATCCGGGGGTGGCAACCGGTTGGTTTTTGGCTCCCCCCCTAGCGCGGTTCAACAGTTTACAGAAGGAAGCAGAAAGCAGAACTGTAACATTGGAGACTGGAAACTGCAACTGGTGCAGGGTACTGCAACCCTCAGCCTCGCAGCCTGATGGCCCCACAAGGGGGCCGGCGTATACTTTGAGTCAAGATAATCTGCAATCTGGGCGGCGACGGGGCGGCGACAGGGCGGCGACGGGGCGGCGACGGGGCGGCGGCGAGGCGGTGACGGGGCGGCGACGGCGAGTACGGAGCCGCCAAACCAGAACACCGAGGCCCAGACGACGGGCGGCGACGGGGCGGCGACGGGGCGGCAACGGCAAATGCGGAGCCGCCAGACCGCCACCCAGGCCCATCTTCTTAGAAGAGAAGTGGAACCCTTGCATGCAAACACTGTTTGGGGAACATGTATACGTGTAGCAATAGGCTGCCGGTAAATCGCGTGGCGTTCCGGGTTGACGGTTTTATGTTCGACAGGGATGTTGCCATCACCAATGCCAGTTATTGCTCAGCTAGTGTAGCCCGACCGCGCCGAGCCTCTTGGCGTACGAGTTCACTGGGGACGCTCTCTCGTGTGTTGAATCTGGCGACCCATCGGCCATACGGTCCACGGCGCCTTGAGTGCTGTATCCGCTTCGAATCTGTGCGACCTCTCATTCTCCGCGTCCTCCGTCGTTTCCCTGCTCCTGCTCCGCCGTTCCTCCCGCTCCTCCGCCCCCCTTGCCCTTCGCTCTCACTTCGGAAGCAAGGCGAGTCGCACTTGCGCTCGCGGCTGAAGGACAACCCCCTCGAACACCGTCCATCTCGCATGGGGTCTCCGTTGCCTGGGGCCTTCTCGGTCCTCCATCCGCTTGGCTCTCCGACCTCCAGGGCCCTCGCGCTACATCCCTTCATCTTTGGCCTTGCGCTGGGGCGATCTGACCGGCTCGGGAGGTCAAACCATATCCAACAGCGCCGAACAGCGGCATCCCACGCGCCAGCCTTCTCGAGAGGACGGTCCAGCAGATGTTGCCCCCAAGTGGCACAGCGGTGGAAGCGCATGGACAGCAGACCATCCACGGCTCGGGTGTTGCCACAGGTGTTTCTGGCCCAGGGTACCCCCAGGATTTCAGGGGAGTTCAAGATGGCCTCCGCAGCATCCGTCAAAGGGGCTCCAAAATGGCGCGGAAACTTGGGGATGGCCACAACACCTCAGTTGCGCTTTCTAGCGATGCGAGGGGATTTGGGGAGCCGCAGACGGCGGAACGGCGTGCCCTGTCGCTGGTCTTCTCCCCACGTTCTGCGATCCCTGGAGCGGCAACGGAGGTCAGAGCCTGCAGGCCACGGGCACCCTCCACGACCGCGTGATGCTGCACGCCTCCGACGTCCCGGAGGAGAGCCGTGCCCCCCCCCGCGGCAGGGTTGCCCCGTCCGAGAGGGCAGCTTTCGTCCTCTCGGAGGAGAGCCGTGCCCCCCCCTCGCGGCAGAGTTGCCCTGTCCGAGAGGGCAGCTTGGCAGCTTGTGCTCTCTCGTGGGAAACGGGGTGAGGGTAGTGAAAGGGACACACGCGAGACTCATGCCGAACAACCGTGTTGGGGCAGTGCCTGCCTCCGTACCCTTCAGCATGCACACTAGTTGGTAGCCAATTTGGCTCAGGCGATTCCCGCCTTGAACGAAACGTACTGACAAACAGAAACACTGCGTCGACGTGCTTTCATCGTCCGGCAAGACTGTATTGCATTGATTGTGGCACGTGTCCGGCACGCGAGCAGCAGCATGCATGCAGCATACCGACTTTGCGACAGGATCTTGTTTCGTATCAAGCCCCCGACCAGTGGCGTGGTGCCGCCGAAGCTCGAGTGCTGGAAAGAGTGCTGGTCGTCACACCTCTCGGCTGGACTCGTGCCACAGTCGAGCGGGGGGCAGGAGGCGACGTGCGAAGGAGCCAGCAGCAGCCCATCCCTTTCTGCTGTCCGTTTTGTTTCTGTCCTCCCCCTCCTCTTCCCCCTTGTCCTCCTCCCTCGCCCCTCCTCTCCAGGGCATTTCCCAAATCATCTGGCGTCCTCGCCCAAGCTTTGCGTTTGAGCCCCCCCTCCCCCTGGCTATTTGACGGGGCGGCAGGGCCGGACAGGTGACAGGAGTTAACGTCTGATTGTGCACGGGCGGAGGAAGGCATGTTCCGGAAAGGCCTCGCCGGGTGGAAGAACAAAACAATTGAGCTAGTAGCCTTCGCGACCCAGCGTCTCGAAGGCGTGTCCGGGAGGAGGTCGGGTAGCGGTGCTCCGTTTCCGGGAGGAGGTCGGGTAGCGGTGCTCCGTTTCATGCCATGCGAGCCGAAATCCTTCACATCAGTAATTTTGGGTCTCGGAGCCCACAGGGCGGTTTTTCATGTTTTCCATTCGACGTTCCATGAAGCCCGATGTCATTCCGAGGCCGCGCGTCGAACGTTTTCGATGGCGCGTCGCGTTATGCGATGTCACGTGCGTTGGGGTCGTCAAAGGCTTGCGTGCTTGTTGCGGATCGGTTGATGTGGGCTGGGGTTTCTCAGGATTGTACATTTGCTTTGCGCTGGGGCGGTTTCGACCCCCATCCCTGGCTGATCCACCCCGCGGGTAACGTCGCAGGAAGAGTTCGATCATGTCGTTCGTAGTGCCAGCGATGCTGTCGCGGACATTGACCGCGCCACGGGGGGGGGTCGTCCAGAAATTTCCTACCATATTGCAGTGTTGGTTCTTCGTTTTGAAGAGACACCGCCCCGCGTCATTCCTTCCGGCCCCCTCCCTCGTCCTCCCTCTTCGCGTATCTGCCCCTGCTCTCCGCGTGTTTCCGTCGTCATCGTCCATCGTCATCGTCGCCATCACCATCATCATCAGCATCATCAGCATTCTCGCCGTCTCCATCATCAATACCACCACCATCCTCATCAACATCATCAAAACACCCCCCTTGTTCCCCCGCGTCTCTGCTTCGCCACATCCCCCGCAAGTCTCGTGGCCTTGTGAGGTGCTCCGCCGAAGGCCCCATCGGCAGGGTCCTTAGTGCGCCGCCCAGCCCATGTCCGCACGCCCCTCAGACGCTTCGTGTCCCCATGAGGAGCTCATCGGAGGTCCCGGCGGCAAGGTCCACATGCCGTCGCCCAGGCCACATTTGATGACACCCTCAAGCATTTCGTGCCCCTATAGGCAGCTCCACCAAAAAAAGGACCCAGCGGCAGGTTTCCCAGGCCGCCGCCCAGCATATTCCGGCATACGTTTCACACGCTTCGTGGCCCCACGGGGAGCTACACCCACGGCCCCACAGACAGGGCCCAAAGGCCGCCGCCCAGCCCATTCCGTCATACGCTCACAAGCTTCGTGGCCCCATTGGGGAACACCCCCGATGGCCCAAGCGACAGGGTCCACATGCCGTCGCCCAGCCCATGTCGTCCACGAGTGGCGCCCAGCACGGCTCCAAGAGCGCCCCAAGAGGCGCCGAGTAAGTTGCACCCTCATGCAAATAGTTTTTGTCACTTGTGGGGGTCCTCTTGGGGCCCTCTTGGAGCATTCTTGGGGCCCTCTGGGAGCGTTCTTGGGGCCTTCCCGGGGCCCCAGTGGGCCCTCGGAGGGCCCCAAGAACGTTCCCCGAGGGCCCCAAGAGGGACCCCCCAAAGTGGTACAAAGAATTCGCGCGAACGCGCAATCTGTTGTAGGCCTTTCGGGGCCCTCTGGGAGCTCTCTTGGGGCCCCCATTGGTGGCGCCTTGGGGCCTTGGGATGGCTCCAAGAGGCTTCGGGATTGCCCCAGACCGCCACAAGACAGCTCCGAGACGGCCGTCGAGCACCACGGGTGAAAGCAAGTGAGGCTAGGGAACAGGGCCTCTGGTAAGCCGCCACTGCGCCCCCTGGACTACCCAGACAGCGAGGGGACCTGAAACGCCCTGGGGCTCCAGGGGCCCCAGATTAGTGAAGTGAAGGTTTTTGCCATGCAAGCACCCCGAAATTCTTCACTTCACTAAACCGGACCCAGGACGAACTCGCTACGCTCCAGTCCCGCGGGAGATCCAAGACTCCCGCCGCCGCCCGGGGACGTTGCTGCATTGCGGTGCTCTGGTCACTGTTAATGGCTTCCGCGGGCTGCAGCGGCTCACTTCCATGACTACCCCGACTCACGAATCCAGTGGTTGGTCTGGCTCTATGGGTTGGTTTCGTTGTGTCGGTTGATTTTATGCTTGGTTGGCGGTCGGTGGATTTCGCGTTGTTCATTGGTGTCGTGAAGTGATTTGTCGTTTGGTTGGTCAGTGCCGTTTTGTTGATTCGTGCCGTTTTGTTGGTTGGTGTCGTTTCGTTGGTTGGTGTCGTTTTGTTGCTTGGTGTCGTTTTGTTGCTTGGTGTCCTTTTGCTGGCCGGTGTCGATTTGTCGGTTTGTTGGTTGGTGTCGGTTTGTTGGTTGGTGTCGTTTTGTTGCTTGGCGTCGTCCTGGCGGCGTGGCCGATAATCGGCGGCCTGCAATGGCGCCAGGATTTGTTTCGGGCCAGCCTTGATCGCCCTCATCATTCTCATATTCGTCAGCGTCAGCACTCGTCGCCCCCATCCGCGCACACATGCGGCCCTGGTACGGCTCTCACGCGGCCCTGCGAAGGCCTTCACTGTGCTCCCCAAAGCTTTCTGAGGGGCCCCCCAGAGGCCCCAAGAGGGCACTGGAAATTGTCGCTTCCAACTCCGCCAGGCGGAGGTCAACAAGGGTCTCACTGGTGCACTTCCAGGAATCGTCGTTCGATCCTCTTGGGGCCCTCCTGGGGCCTTCTGGAGCCGTCTTGGAAGCTCCGAGCGGCTCCATGAAGGCGCCGGGCGATATCGCTTCCAATTCCGCCAGGTGGAGTTAGACCAGGGGCTCACTGAGGCCCCTTTTTGCGCCCTCCTCTGCCTTTGAAAAAGCCCCGATGGGGTTCTTCAGTGCCGTCTTAGGGCCCCTAAGAGGCCTCCAGTAGGGTATTGAAGTTATCGCTTCCAACTCCGCCACGCGGAGTTGAACCCAGGGCGGCTCTCTATGGCCCTTTCGGGGCCTTCTTAGAGCTTTTCTGAGGCCCTAAGTGGGCCCTGGGAGGTGTCATTTTCACGGGCGTTGAAAGTGACACCGCGGAGGGCCCTCTTGGGCCCTTCTTGGGGCCTCTCTTGGGTCCCTCTGGGAGCCCTCTTGGTGCCGCCCTGGGGCCTTCTCGGGGCCTTCTTGGAGCCTTTCTGGTGCTCTTTAAGTGGGCCCTGGGAGGTGTCACTTTCACGGGCGCTGAAAGTGACACATCGAAGGGCCCGCTTTCCCTCGTAGCGCTGCCCGTGGCCGGGGCATTGTGCAGCGCATCCCTCGTCGAACGTATTTTGTCGGACGCGTGGTCGAATTCCGCCAGTTCGGTCGAGATGGTGGTCAAGCGGTTCGGTTGCAATGTAGCCATGCGGATCTGAGCTTGCCATTTCTTGCCATTTTGGCGGGGATCGCAGGAGCGTTTGTGTTGTGATCAATTGTGCACGATATATCCAGCGGCAGCGTTTCATCCCAATCTATTATTTTGAAAAAAGTCAGCAGGGGCCAAATTGCTGATGTGAAGCAACATAGGTCTCGTAAGTAGTTCCTCTCGCTCCGCTTCCTCGATCCCCCTCCTCCTCCTCGATTGATCCTCCTCCTCCTCCTCGATCCCTTCAGGACTCGCAGTTACCCGCCCCTCCTCCTTAGCTTCCTCCCCCCCTTTTTCTCTTCCGCCTCTTCCTTTTTCTCCTCCTCCCCATCGTCATCATCATCATCATCCTCATCATCATCATCATCATCCCTCCTCCTCCCTCGCTCCTCCTCGTCGTCGTCCTCCTCCCCCTCCTCGCTCTTCCTCCTCCTCAACCCTTGCGCCTCGGGCCAGCGACACCATGGGCTACGTACGGTACCTGGACCTTCCCTCCTATCGCTACACGAGCCTTGGGGGGCTCTTCATATCTACTTTTGCTCACACTTCTAAGCTCTACTAACTCTGTTTTCGTGTTCCGCCATGTGGAACAATCTGCTGAATCTTGTGTTGTACAACCCGCTGCGTATTTCCGAAGCCTGGCGAGCAGAACATATAAATTGCACTCTCAAAAATGTGGACGCGATATTCGGCCCATCCATTACATCATTACATGTCGACAGCGCCTCAGGGCGCCCATTTGCACTACGAACACCACTTAGCATCGGATGTATTCCTTCGGATGGTAGAAAGGGGGACATGCCAACAAGAGTGCAGGCTGTGTTATATTTGTACGGAAAAGGCCGATCCGCCCCAATCACATCTGCGAGTTGAAGGAAGCCCCACCGACCTCGCCGGCAGGGGGGGTATCTTACGCATCAAGAGCGGCACATTCGACATGACGCTGACCACGGCGTACTATCCGCCCCCT